TGAAAATGTAAGAATTGTTGCACACTGTCATGTGTACTGTCAATGCGAGATTTGAACTTGCAATTCTGATAGAAAAAAAAATCTGAATTGTGAGATAGACTTGCGAGAAAAAAGTCAGAACTGTGAGTTTATATCTCACAATTTCAATTCAAAATGTCAGAATTGTGGAGATAAACTTACGAAAAAAAGTCAGAATTGTGAGTTTATCTCACAATACTGAGAAAGAAATGTCAGAATTTGCGAGAATTATACTGTGTAACGCTTTATGATTGACGCTGTCTATTTCTATAAGACAAGCTCAAACAAACTACACTACACTAAAGCAATTTGTTGCTACTAGTGTTTGAATGGATCTTTACAAGCATGTTGACTCTCTACATGCCAAATAAACATCTGACCTCACATGGTTTCCATCAAACTCTAAGCTTCTCTTGAGCAGGTGGTGAGGGTGGGAAACACCATCTGCTCCTATTTAATAGGTCAGATCCCCAATCCCACATTCAATGAACTCTCCATTAAACATTCTACTCACATTCATCAAGCAGTTAGATGAGAGATCACACGTAGGGAAGGATGTTATGGAAAATGATGGCTCTGCTTACTTTCAATTTCAACTGAGTTTCCTGCGATCCAACAATTATGCTCTCCTGAATTCATTTGTCCTTGAGATGCTGAAAGAGGACAGTGGATTTGTCCAAAGGACAAGGTGAAAGGTCAAAGCATGTTGCACATCCTTACAGCACATTACAGATGAATGCATCAGAACAAAGATCATCCATGTGTTTTAGTTTTGCATGATTTTGTGCAGTTCAATGCAAACATCCTGGCTCAACATTTTCTGCTGGCAGCATGACTTTGAAAAGCTGTTATTTCCTAAATAACCCTAATAACGACTGACAAATCTCAAAAATATTATGTTTGCTACAAGGATCATTTTTTTTATTGCTAAAGTGCGTGTTGTATTTAAAACCAAGATCTGATATAATTTACATTTGGCTATTTTTTACAAAATGACATTGCATTGATGCACATGACATTTTTTTGCAACACTTTAAAAAGTAAAGTAATGTATGTTGTAATGCATTATATATTTTTATTAAAACTTAAATGCATTACAATATTTTCTGAAATTGGTTGTTTGTCATGTGCTTTAATGCATTATACTTTCTAAAGTAACAATAAATATAGATAAGTAATTTAATGTATTATAACTGTGGTTTCAATTATTTACAAGATCATACAATGCATTATAACGTGCATTACAAGGATAATGCATTAAAAATACTTTTATTATGCATTATATATAAAGGCTTCAAGTGTTACTTATATTTCTTTCCCAACTACTGTAGCCTATATTTTAACGTAAATAGTCATTTCAAACAATTCAATAATACATTTGCCAAAGTCAAAGTGAAGAAAGCCTATTCATTGGAGATAATTCCAAACCATGTTATTTCATTGTAGGTCAACAACGCATAGTTTCCTGGCTAACTTGATTCACATACTTTTTATCCTGTAATATCAAATAATCAAATGCTGAAATGCAAACCAATTCTGTGCTTTTCAGACTCCGGTTTACGTATTCCACAATGGCAAAGTCATTTTCCGAAATGAATGCCACAGGAAGTGAGGAATGTGATGGGCTTGTAGTCAGTGAATGCATCTATCACTACATAAAGGCCATCGGACACAACGCCGCCCTTCAACCAAAACACAAATCTCATTCTTGTCCTCTCTGATTCAAACTTCAGTGCAGCAAACTCAGCCAATTCAGTTCCATTCAGTCAGATGATATTTACAGAATCCTACATAAGATTTATTGTCCTCATGAGTTTGTACATGGCTACTAAATAACAATTTTTATGTTAACCCTATTAAGCCACCTGTATCATATTTCATACACATATTTCTAAGGCCTATAAATGATCAACATGATCCAAACTTTATGAAAAACCTGATCTACTACATGCCTTCTGTTGTCTGATTTATTAGGCTATACTGTTTTAGTAAAAGTAAAAGGTATTTTATTTGTAAAAACGTCCACCTTCAGGTCGTGGAAGGCTACATATGTATTTTTGCTGTAAAATCTTGACTAATTTTTATAAAGTAAATGTACTGTAAGAATAACTTTTATATTGTTATTCATATTTCAAGATGAACACTTACTGGGCTGAAGTTGAAGTTCAAGTTAAAATGATTTGTTCAACTGCAATAGTAATACTTGCCTTGGAAATAAAATATAAAATAAAAATATAAGCCTTTAACATGATAAGGGTTTATGCGCCATCTTGTGTCCAAATGCAAAATAGGACATCCGAAACTGAAACAGACAGATTTAGATTAGCGAAACTCAACTAAAGAGGAACAAAAACACAAAAGCAGTATAAATACAACCAAGCTGACTAACTACTGAGATCTGCTGGTCAAAAGGAGCTCTCACTCACTGTACATTTAGAGATAGATATGCAGTATTTCAGATAACGTAAGCTACTTAAAATAGCCCAACTTTCATGCACGTGAGCTGCAGCTGTATGACTCCATCTCTAGAATTTTCTGCATCAATAAGGAATAAGATATGCTGAGGTTGTCATGGTCGATTCTACTTGTTGATTAAGGTTAAAACGGAACATCATTCAGATTTACATTAAGTTAACATTAAAGGTAGCCTGGCATGCCAGACCTACATCAAGATGTTAAATAATTTTCGCTGCCGCTAGGGTGCGTCTAGATTTCTAGGCTACATTAAAGGTGCTCTATGTAACTTTTAGCGGCCTCTAGTGGTGATGTTTCAGATTGCAACCAAATTTTACAAGAGCGCTCGTGCTCGAACTCATAGACAATACCGTCTATTACACAAATATCTCGGCGAATACTAGACGGATTCGGCGAGCACCGAGCTCGTTGGGACCATCTAGTCGAGCTGAAAATAACCATATAAGGTCCATAGTTTTTGGTGGTGTTTTCGCGGAGATATTAGCAGAAAACCATCGGGCGCGCTGCAAAATTGCGGACGCCGGTGACGTAACGATCTCAGAAGAAAATCGCTGGTATCTCTGGAACGCAAAGACCCAGAGAGCTCAAATTCGGGGGAGGAGGTCCCAGGGGAACCCTTGCCCGAACGCTAGAGTGGCGGGCCTCGGGGATGCCCCCTACCGGATCGCCGTTCGCTGGGACCCCCGATTTCGAACGGCTATAACTCGGGGAGCCGGGCGAGTTGGACCTCGGGGGTGGGCTCGTTCGAAAGGCCCCGTCCAGCACTACGAATGATTAGAGTCTTGGGAATATTTATCAAAGATTGACTGAGATATAAGCCGAAAAACGTGCGCCTTTAACCGGACGTAACTCCCTGACCGTCTACAATAGACTGTATATAAGGAGAGAGGCTCGGGAGCGCGCATGCACGTCACATCCGTTGGATTTCGCAGTAAATCCGACCCGGAGACTTCACATAGAAATAGGAATACTGGCCTTCAGAGGTAATATCAAAACTCGACAAGTGGATCATTTTAATGTGTGATTACAACCCCTTCACACACAGGCAATAAAAAAAGGATTCATTTTAGTAGAAAAGTTACATAGAGCACCTTTAAGGAATAAAAGAGCACTGGCAAAGGGGGAAATTACCGTTGAGAAGTCAGTCTTAATAGTGAATCGGTTGTTGGATTAAATGTGTTTAAAGATAGTTCACCCAAAAATGAAAAACTAAGACCTCCGTTCATCTTCGGAACACAAATCAAGATATTGTTAATTAAAATCAGATTTTATTTTTAAAATAAAATCCCTATTGACATCTACACAACGGACCCTTTGACGCTTCAAAAAGTTCATAAAGAGATCGTAAAACTAATCCATATGAAGTCTTTTCTAAAGAGACACAATCGCGTTAAATGATGAAAAGATTGAATTTTATTCACATAAACATTCATCAACTCACACATCAATTATGGTAAACACAGGATGTTCGCTTGACGTGCGAGAACCAGAGGTCCATTCTCGTATTTTACGCAGCACTTTTGAGTTTCAACAAGAACCAACGGGATTTGTTCTTGCACGTCAAGCAGGTTTGGTTTAGCTTCTGTTAATGTTCACCGATCAAGATTAAAACAATCTACATTATATAAAGTGATCATGTCTATTCAGAAAATTTTGACTAAATTGCTCAATTCATATAGGCTAGATATAGGCCTCTTTATGAACTTTTTGAAGCATCAAAGTGGTAGTTGCGTAGCTGTCAATGGAGGGACACAAATCTCTCAATTTCATAAAAATATCTTCATTTGAGTTCCAAAGATGAATGAAAGTCTTAAAAGTTTGGAATGACATGAGGGTGAGAAATTAATGACAGATTTAACATTTTTGGGTGAACTATAAATATTACTGTTTGCTAGGACTGTATATGATATGATAAAGTGTGAATCATTAAACTTTTTCTATATCGTGTACTTGCGTTATGCAAATATATCCATGCCGCTTTTAGTGGGTATGAAGTTTTTACACTTCAGAGTGATAAAGGAACATGGAATGAGTAGCCTAATAAAGAGCGGGACATACTGTACGTGCTTGATGTTAAAATGAGTTTTTCAAAGTGCAATATGCCATGAAAAAGAACTCATATTCACTTTGCACACTGACACATTCTTCACAGCTAAACTGTCAAATAAAGAGTATTTGGTATTTTATTTTGATAAATTTGATTGTTTTTTTTTGTATTTTTATTTTAAATACATTTTCACGTATATTTCTGCTCATCTCTGTGTACATTAACTCTGTTAGACCCCCCTTCAATGTCAAAAGTGACTAATTTAATTCAACACAGGAACCTCAGAAATATCTAGACACTCAGATACAGTAGCCTACGGGTGGAACAATGAATGCATAATTTCCACATAGTAAAATGTTTGCATGTACCCCACGTCGCCCTCAAAACAGCGGGGGAAGATTGCACTTTCTGGATTTCCTGTCTGTCTATACTCATCACTGCATCAAACCACATTCAGAATAAGTTTCCACCAGCGACAGAGCAACAGCTTTCACTCTTCGCTTCATATAAAAACAATGTGCTTTTCTCTGTAATTCAAAGTCTTCTTCAAGGAAACTCCAAGTCTTGTAAGTACATGTCAAAACATATTTTTTTGTGTGTGCGTGGTATATGCCTATTTGCATTTCTGCCTAATTTAATATTTTTTAAATTAGCATACAAATTTTAGTGAAAAGTTGAATTGAGAAATGAACTTGGATTTAAGAACAGATTTTCTATTTCTAAGTTAAATATTCCATGTTTAGTGCAAGTTAAGCTCAATCAACAGCACTAGCATAATGTTTACCTCAAAATGTTAAACTCTTAAAACGTGAGTCACTTAACGTTACTGGAAATCAAAAGTATAGCCACAAAACGTGAACGATATGTGTGTTAAGATAATGAAAGTAGCACTTAAACAGAAATGAAGTAAATCTGGTTGCGTAAACTTCTTAAACTAGGCTTAAAAGTTCGTCATCTAAATTTTTCTTCAAGACTGGTCCTAACTTTTTAATGTCAGTAGTTCAGTACCATTAAAAGGTAGATCAGTCTAATTTGAAATGGAAAAGTACAACTCGTGCCCCTTGGTTTTCTGCTAGTTATTCAAACTAGCTCTTAAGACACAGTTGCTAAGTTTATGCAATGGGTCCTAATGTTCTTCTAGATGTTTCAAAGAGCTTCAACAAGTCAGATGATCAATGTCACTAATTTACTTTTTCAATGATTTCTTTTTCACAACAGAAACTCACAGACATTTACCTTCCTCCTGATGGGGAAATGAAAATCAGACCAGTTCCCAAAACAATGAGCAGTAAATCATTTATTTAAATTCTAGTAAGTCATATTAAGAGTTGATGTGAGCAAATCTCTAAATCCAACAATCCAAGGAACACGACATCATGGAAAACGACACCTTAAAGTTTTTGCCTTTCCAGCGCTACCTCTTCACGCCGGTGTACAGCCTGGTCTTGTTTTTTGGACTGATAGGAAATCTCGGAGCTTTGTACTACTTCATCTTTAAAATCAAACAGAAATCTCCATCAAACATATACATCATTAACCTGGCGGTGGCCGACACGCTTTTCCTTTTCGCCTTGCCGTTTCGCATCCACTATCATCTGACCGACAGCAACTGGATATTTGGCGTCGCCATGTGTCGCATCACCGGCACGGTCTTCTTCGCCAACATCTACATCAGCATCACCTTCATGACCTGCATCTGTGTGGACCGCTACATCGCCACCGTCCACCCTCACACCTACCTGAGGCTCCGCAACACCAGTGTCCCCGCACTGGTGAGCGCTGCCGTGTGGTTGGTCTCTGGGACGGCCATTTTGGCCTTCATGCTAACGTGCCCATTGTCATCTACAGAGAACATGTGCTTTGAGGGCTTCACTTCAGAAGACTGGGACGACTTGGCACCCTACAGCATATGCAGTCTCATTTTTGGGTCCCTTGTGCCTTCTGTGGTTATCCTGGTGTGTTACCCCATCGTGGCCCGCCGCATCGCCCGGATCAACAACTCCACCGCCCGCGGGGCACAGAGGGTCATCTACGCCATCCTGGCCATCACCGTTCTGTGTTTCCTGCCTTATCATGTCATGCATCTAGTGTACCTCCTGTCCCGCTTGAGACATGACAAACATAATGACTGCATATTCGTCCTCCGTAGGGTGACCATGGCTCTGGTCAGTCTAAACAGCCTCCTGGACCCGATATTGTACTACTTTGCAACCGGACACTACAAGTGGACGTTCAAAAGGCTGAGACTGAGGAAGAAAAAGGGCGTTTATTCCATTTCCAAGGGGTTTTAAGCTTCTGAAGGCTTCATTGTGACTGAGGCTATTTGTTTTAAGGGCAAGACAAGGTGACTAATGTGACTTGATGTAACTGGAGTCAGGTTTTGTACTGATACAATGCAAAAACAAACAATGACTGTATTTTTTTATTATATAACAGCAAAATAACTGATAAATTTGCCAGTCAGTGGTTTATGCAGTTTTGGTGTTTAGTAATATTGTGTGTAAATATCTGAGTCTCATTTCATATCATTGAACTTTTGCATTTATATCAGTAGATGTAGATATCAGTATCACCACTGGAAAAGCACATACGAATGAAAAGACTGTATTTTTGTTTCAAATTCAAGAAATAAATATATTTTTCACAAATGACAGCCTTCTGAATTTTACTCCAAAAAAAATAATGTTTTATTATTTTTTTCAAACAAAGACAAACGTCAAATCAGTATCACCAGTCAGGAAGGCAGACCTTTCTTTAACAGTGTAGACAAGAAACTGCCCAATTCTTCATCCTGAGGAAGACAAAGATAGTTTTAATATAACAAACAGGTTAAAAGGATACATTTCAAAACCTAACATGTAAAATCTTAATAACTATCAAAAAATATTTATTGTGTGAATAACAGTATATAAATTAGAATAAGAGTTAAACTAATCAATAACTTAGACAGTGGTATATTACTACTATTATGCGATAACATCTAACATAAAAGTTTGTAAATATATGCATGTGTATACTTATACACACACACACACACACACTTATGTTAGATGCGATTAATCGTGATTTATAATGATTTATCGATTTGACAGCACTAATTAATATGTGTTCAAAGGTTTGGTTTTTTAAAAAGAAGTCTTGTGTGTGCACTAAGAAAATATATTACACTTCATAGTAACCACTTCCTATTTTAAAATAGTATACAATGTAATTTATTCCTGTGATGCAAAGTTGATTTTTCAGCAGCATTACTCCTGAATAAAATCATATGAATAAAAAAAACAGGTCTATATAAGCACTAAGCGTTTGTTGCGGTTGGAGGAGTTTCTATCAGACGCGATATCGGAGAAGATGAAGTGAACCATGCGAGAAGATGACACCGCAAATTCACTTTCTCTCCAGCATTTGTAGCCGTTTCAATCACAATCCAATTGTGATGAACTGCAGCATAATAGATGGCGACATTTATTGTGATATGTTTGTGTTGTGAGCTGGCGATACCCGGCCCTGAATGCAACCCATGTTTGTTTGGAAACATTAGGGCAAACATTTTCCCTCGTGGCGGCGAGATGCTGTGAATTCCACTAGACCAACTGTGACCACACGCAGAGAAAACAACTGAAGTTTTCCACAAATGCAAACCCGAAAACATTATTATATTATTCCTCACCTTTAAAAATAAGTAGTTAAATTTGAACACAGAATATAACCCCTATTAAATTAGGAAGGGCATCAGTGGAGATGATTGTTCACCTGATAGCTCCAAGAAAGCAGAATGGCTTTGAGGTTGGGCTCCTCGGCCGAGGACGTCACTTTAATAACGATGGATTCCACTATGACGGTGCCGTCTGGGACGTGCTGGATGCTGTAACTTTTCAATACGCTGAAAGAGATTATGGAAAAATAGACTTGACTTTTAATGAAACCTTTTGGAAAGCACAAACCTCATTCAGTATCTGTCCACATGCGCTGACATTTACACTGTGGCTAGAGTGGTAACAGCCTTGTTTACTGTGGGCAAGCGTTTGGGTGCAATGGCCCACCTGTATGTGATGAACCAAGGATCAAGACTACAAATATAGTAATATAGTATAAAACTATCTATCTATCTATCTATCTATCTATCTATCTATCTATCTATCTATCTATCTATCTATCTATCTATCTATCTATCTATCTATCTATCTATCTATCTATCTATCTATCTATCTATCTATCTATCTGTCTGTCTGTCTGTCTGTCTGTCTGTCTGTCTGTCTGTCTGTCTGTCTGTCTGTCTGTCTGTCTGTCTGTCTGTCTGTCTGTCTGTCTGTCTGTCTGTCTGTCTGTCCGTCCGTCCGTCCGTCCGTCCGTCCGTCCGTCCGTCCGTCCGTCCGTCCGTCCGTCCGTCCGTCCGTCCGTCCGTCCGTCCGTCCGTCCGTCCGTCCGTCCGTCCGTCCGTCCGTCCGTCCGTCCGTCCGTCCGTCTTCTATCTATCTATCTATCTATCTATCTATCTATCTATCTATCTATCTATCTATCTATCTATCTATCTATCTATCTATCTATCTATCTATCTATCTATCTTTGGGCATAACTGAAAAAATAACTAATTGTTTTGTTGCATTTGCGACCAATTTAGCTGCAGTTTGAAGCCCCGTTTACATGAATCTCTTTTGTCTTCGTTTTTTAAATCACATCACAAATGACTCAGTGATGTCACACCGACTGCAGACTTGGAAAAACGTGACCTTCAAGACGGAATTTTTCTGAGTTTGAAAGTTTTTCATTACAGAATTTACATAGCAGTGTTATTTTAGTATTATTTATATATTATAGTCATATTAATATTTTGAAATATCATAGTCGTATTAATATTTTGAAATAGCTTTCATTTTTACATTTTCAGGTTACTTTTTAAAATTCAAATTTAGTTTAGTTTTTAGTAATTTTGTTATGCCCTTTTTAATTTTATTACATTTTTACATTACTATTTATTTAGGTTTAATTTATTTTTATTTCAATTTTACTTCAGTATTAGTTTTTATTTATTATTTATTTGATTGATTTTTGACTTATTTCACCTTATTTTTAATTTAATATTTATATTTTACTTTATTTCAATTCGCAATTAAAAAAAATAAGTTTTCGTTTTATTTAACAATAATAACCCTGTTGCATATGGGTGAGGGCAAAAGGAAAGTATGTGTGTGTGTGGTATTGTTTGCTGACCTCTTGAGGTGTGTGTAGATTCGGCTGAGTGTGTCGGTGTCACTGTGGGGGTCATGGAGCTGCACGCGGCAGGTGAAGCGCAGCTGATGTTCACTGAGGCCCAGCTCTTTGAGAGCCTGCTCTGGAGAAACCAGCCGCAGACTCTACACACACACACACACACACACACACATTCAGAAAAAAGGGAATTATTGACATCCAAAACCTCATATCGTCAAATAAATGATTGAAACCAACCTAAAAAGCTATGTTGACTTACATTGTCCTTCATTATTAATGTCCCGTGCATGGTGCGAGGTCTTTTAGGATCAGGCAATGGACCTGTGAGAAAGTTTCATATATACTGTATATATATATATATATATATATATATATTTATATTTATATCTATAGATAGAAAAGCAGAAACTACAAGACCCCCTAACCACAGGACAGAAAAGTCATGATGGCGTGTCTGTACACAGGTCAAATAAAGCATTCAGTGGTGTACGTGTCAAAGATCACCTCCGAGAGCCATTTCTCTCTTCAGCAGGTTGAGCGAGATGTCCACGGGGACGCTGGGGTTCGTCACTATGGTCGTCGTCTCTCCATTGGCCGGCATATAGCAACTAACACCTGCATTGGGTAAAACAAAAGCGGTTTATTTCAGAAGAGAATATATATCAAACACTGAAAAGTAAACTATTTTACTGATCGTATGCTACAATATTGCGTTACTCCCTAAAAAAGTAACAGGTTGTGTTACTTACTATAGTTACTTTTTATGGAAAGTTTTATTTAAATTCCTTTTTTGTTACTTTTTCTCACCTGGGCTGGGCTTGCTTTTTTTAATAATAAAAAAAAAAAAAGTTATATTATTGGCAAATGTAAAGGCCCTTTCTCACCATAAGTAAAATGAATAAACCATAGGCTGAAGGAAATGCAAATTCATGCCTGTTCACTAGAGGGCGAATTAAAGTTATTTTTGCTTATTTGTATGGTTGAATTGGATCATCGAAGGTCAGCAGCAAAAAAAATTGGTTCATAAAGTGAGATTAAGTACATAAAGTATATTTTTGTGTTTTTAACATTTAATTATTGCAGGTTTGTGTAATATTTTGAGTTGGCATTTCACTATTTATTCATTTTGAGGGAACACTGAATCTGTTTTTGTGCAAGTGAGTAAATGAATGTTGACGATCCAGATCCAACTCCTCCCACCATACATATACCTAAACCTACCCATCTCCGCCCCCTGATCCCTAACCCCACCCCTAAACCTACCCATCTCCGCCCCTGATCCCTAACCCCACCCCTAATCCTACCCATCTCCGCCCCCTGATCCCTAACCCCACCCCTAATCCTACCCATCTCCGCCCCCTGATCCCTAACCCCACCCCTAAACCTACCCATCTCCGCCCCTGATCCCTAACCCCACCCCTAATCCTACCCATCTCCGCCCCCGGATCCCTAACCCCACCCCTAATCCTACCCATCTCCGCCCCCTGATCCCTAACCCCACCCCTAATCCTACCCATCTCCGCCCCCTGATCCCTAACCCCACCCCTAATCCTACCCATCTCCGCCCCCTGATCCCTAACCCCACCCCTAATCCTACCCATCTCCGCCCCCTGATCTCTAACCCCACCCCTAATCCTACCCATCTCCACCCCTTAGATCTGGATCCAACTCCGCCCCCTGGATCTCATGTACTGCAACTTACAGCAGAAAAAAAAAAAAACGTTTACAGCCTGGTACAAAAAGTGTACCACTTGAGTGACAGGTGGATTGCCCCCGTTGTCACTACTAGCCGTTTGTCTGCTGTCTGTTAGCGGTCACGTCACCTCAGCTAATCCCGCTTCTCTGCCCATTTTCGGTTGATCACAACACCATAAAATGACACACGGTGTTGAGGTGCTGCCAAGATGGCGACGACTGGTTCCGCACACTTTGGGCTTCAAAAATGCTCTTCAGAAACCTTCGGGTGACGTCACGGACACAACATCCATATTTTTTTTTACAGTCTCTATGGTTTAAACTTTACACACAGCACTTACTCCTGATTTCTCTCAAAATGGGGACAGGAGAGCTGTCAGTCAATTAATGGGAAAACATTTTACTTATTTGAAAAAGTAACTCAGATATTTTGTTGTAAGTTTTAAAGTAATGAGTTACTTTGCTAGTTACATGGAAAAAGTAATCTGATTCCTCACGTTACTTGTAATGCATTACCCCCAAAACTGCCCATGAATAAATCACAGAA